ACAGGATTGTTGTTTTTAACCAACAAAGCTTGTTTATAATTGAGTTTGTGGGTTTAAATGCCAGCCACTTTTATTCCTGCCTGCCTTGTTAAGAATTCTGCGTAAGGCTTCTGAGGTTCTTTCCTTGTATGGAATTACTACTGATGATTTAGATTCCTTATTGTTGGTGTTGTCTTTATCCTGCGCATATTTGACATGCATGTCGTCATGCAGTTACACACAACCATACAATAGGATGGGATAGGATGACAATTTTAAAATCTAATGCAATAGCAGGGTGGAGGGAGAGATTGATAACAGAAGCTTTGTTCATCGAATCAACTGCAAATACATGTAATAGGAATGATTCATCACCTGTCCCCGATATCTGGAAAATTCTACTACCCCAACGACGACAAATAGGAGAGGACAAAGGAAACTATAAACCTCAAGTTTCGAAGTCGTGTGATTATAATTGATATGATTATGAACAATAAATAAATTTTGTTCGAAACTAATATTGAACTGATTTGGTTGTTTGGGCTAAGTCATACCAGGTACATCGTTGATGAGGAGCAAAACAGCCGTCCTGTGATGTTCAGATCACCTCCATCTGGTAGCCATGAAGCACAACGGGTTGATATGAGTTGTGTGGCATACAACAACTACTACTACTCATCTCATTCAAATCAATCAGTAGTATATTAGTTTTATGCAAATATTCATTTCCTTGACTACCTTTGTGGTGGAAAAGTGAAGCGCATTTAAGGAGAAACTATCTTGAAACCGTCAAAATGTCAACTCAAATAGACAACATATGTAACTATTGGTTACAATCACATCTATCTTCAGGAAACATTGTTTTCTCTACATTAAGAGAATTTAAAAATATATAAGTAGTATATTGGCTGTTTGAAGAAAATACAGTCAGTCCAAACGCTAAATAGATATACAACACACAATAGTATCAAAAAATCCACGTATAAATAAAAATTGAGTCGGTCTAAGTAGTGAGGGCGGGGGGGGGGGATGGGCTACACACTTGACATGACAGAAGAGGATGTCAGTGAGTAAGTGAGTAAGTGGGTAAGTGAAAGTGGAAAGTGATACGCCACTCACTTATAAAGAAAGCCGAAAAGAGATGAGCAGATGAATAGAAATCAATCTGCAAAATCTATGAAATTATTATTATTTTAACAATAAATAAGAATGAGTGATTAGATGTTTTGAAAGTGATAAAATCTTCATCCTGGTGACGATAATGAATTTTAAGAATGTTAAATGCTTTTACGCTTTGACTTCAATGAGTCCCAATGGGGAAAAATCACTGATACACTAAGATGTATGTCTGAGTGAGTGACACCGGGAATAATGAGGACAGAAAGATAAACAGAATAACAACAAGAAACAAAGAAAAGTATGTTTGTCTCTTTATGTGCGAAGTCAGTCAGTTCTTCAATATGACATTAAAACATTCTGGTATAACCCAACCCTTACTCCTACAATTCGTTAATTCTCGCATTCTGCCTATTATTCTCTATTGTTACCCCTTAGTTTTTCCCGGGCTAATGAAGAAAGACTATAACATATTACGCAGGATGTTAAAGGTTGTCAGCAAGGTAAGCAACGTGCCACTTAACCAGCTTGTTAATATTCTGGTCGACTGGCACATGGACTCATGTGAAAAATGGGCCAAATCCATTTTATCTAACTCACACCACCCTCTTCACTCACAACTCTCCCCTTCCATCTCATCACACAAAACCAGAAGCCTATATCGAAAACTATATGCTCGCACCAGCAAGTACAAAAACTCAACCATACCCTACTCAGCTTGTGTTCTGTGCAATAAAGAAAGAATTAGGCGGGAAACTTATAATTCATTAAATAATCAGTAGAACAACTGGATCTCATCTTTCCAACTCATATCATTTACAGGTACATCGTTTTCTTTCTTTCTTTTCCTATTCTCTCTCTCTTTTTTTCCGTTATATGCTGCTTTGTTTCTTTCTTCCGCTTACGCCAGTAAATATGACTGCACCTACTTTTCTAACACCTTCAAACACTGTTCAGCTTTGGCTTTGCTACCGACATGCCAACACGTTGCTATCATAATGAACTGAGATTTCCTCAATCTATGTAGAATTCTATTTATGGATAATGTACTAACTGGATGCAATACTGTAGTAAAAATGCTGAGAATTCCATTCTGTATCACAAGTACTGTTTTAGAATAAAGCAAATTATTATTATTATGACGTTGGCGTCACGGAAATCACTTCCTTCAGGCTACCGGGGAATTTTGTCAACGGCTGTCTCCTTCGCTTGCTGCATAGTGAAGATCAGATGGTTGGGAGGCCGGCCGGCCGTGGAATGAACCAATCAGGAACCTCCTATTGCTTAACAAGTGGGATATTCCAAAGAAGTTGGGAATATATCGGATACATGACAATGAGAAGACCGTTGGGTGACATTACACGCTAATCAAGCAATCATTACACGAGTGGAAATGGAATGAGAAGCAAGCTACCAGTCGGTCATTAGTCCGAAAGGTAACATTGAGGAGACCATATAAGGAGAAGATGGTGCCAGTCAACCGAAGATAACCTCAGAGAACAGGGTGAGGTGGAGATGTGGTGCTGCTGAAGACATATGTCCCACTCGGGACCCAAGGGAGTTATAATAGTTATAATAATAATGTATGACTGTTCAATATCTTCATCATCAGCGTATCACTTAGAGATAACTGAAAGCTACAAGGGGGCACTCGACAGCTGCCTCGTTCTGACAGCAATACTCTAACCGTTGGGATCGTGGCCTGAGGATGTTACCAGGCTCGACTCCCGGTGAGATCGTGGACACGCACTGCTGAAGAGTCCCAAACTAGGATGAAATAGCTGTCCACTGCTCCCTGAAGGTTTTTCAATATATATAGAGAAGCGTTAAAATTGTCCTCTGAAATACAATTTCACATTTTCGCTTCATTTTACGTCTGATTACTCTTCATTTCTTCCATAATGATAGATCGTAAATATGTCATAATCTGATCCATTTTCACATGTGACTACACTACTCGGCTGGTAATTCTTGACATATTTAGGTCCTTTCTCTGATGCCTGTTTGTTTATCTAAGTGGTGTAATTGAAGCGTATTACATTTTATCTTAATTTTAATCTCTCATACTCCTTTCGCCCACTTATCTATTCAAACATGACCTGGAAAACGTTCGCACGTGTCTTTCTGAATGATTAATTCAATGCCGGTGCGTCGGTGGTACAGCGGTAGAACACTCGCCAACCACGCAGGTGTTTCGGGGTTCAACCCACGACGGCCAACGCATTCCTTTACCTAACTAAACAGGTAACAAGACTGGTACGAAGAGAAGGTTGCACATGAGGCTAGCAACCCATCCCATTAAAAATAAATACCACTGCTACAGAAACTTCAAGCCTTTAGCTTGAAGCCCTATGTTCCACTGGGAAAAAATTCAATGTAGTTTATTGGCTTATCAGTTTTATGCCTCCTAATGTATTTCCAATAGTATTTATATATATATATATATATCCCTGTATTTAGAGTAGTATTCAGTTGAGGAAGACTTCTACCGAACTTTGGTGGATTCATTAAATCCCACTCTATTAACCACTGTTGCTTCTTTTAAATTAAAAAATGTGTAGAACTTGGGTACACTGTTGTATTATGTAATTTCATATTAATTTGTTTATTAGATATATTTAGGCAGTGACCTGGGGTTCTAGTCGGAAGACGTGACCATTAGGGTACAGCAGGTTGAAGGTGAGGCAGTAAGTTATCGAAGAAGACATTGCGAAGTGATCGCGCTATATCATGAATTGGCAGAAGTTAGAATTCATGGGCTGACTGGCCATTGGATCGGGTCTCAGTGGCTGATGAATGGTCTACGAGCTAGCTCGCCTTGTAACCAGAAGGTCCTGGGTTCGAACCCTGGTGGCAGTGGGAGCATACTGATAAGGAGTAACAAATTAAGATGGAGGAGACAGCTGTCCAGTACTCCCATGTTGGTTTTCCAATGGTTCTCTAACTGATGTCAGCTCATGATGAAATCCTCCTACCAATCAAACCAAAATCCCTACAAACGAATACTTGAATAGTTTTACTCAGGTTGTGGGAGTAGTAGAATTATCTAGATGTCCGGAGGGACAGGTGTTGGATCACTCCTAATACATGCATTTTTAGTTGATTCCATAAATAAAGCTTCCTATATCTCAATCTCTCCTACCACCCCGCCATATTAGAATTTGCAATTGTCATCTTATCTAGTCCTATGGTATGGTTTTGTATGGCTGAACTACTATCTAAATTTCCTAGCTTATTCGAGGCAACTAATCTACATTTTATTAGGATTTTGTACTCAGCTAGTCTGCTTTGACCTGACATTCATTGTACACGGTATTAGATAAACTAAATTTTAATTACAGTCTTTTAAAATTGCTTCCACAGGATCCTTTAACCGACAAAGCTTGTTTCTAATTGAGTTTAAAGGTCATGGAATGCCACTTTTATTCATTCTTGCCCACTTCTCTGGCTCCATAATGAAAATCAGATGGCCAGCTGGCCGGCCGGCTGACTGGTCAGAAAGAATTAGAAACTAGAAACTCTCTGAACTAACCAACCGAGAATCAATTGCTTAATAGATATCATAGAGGAAATAGAGATGGGTCGGATACACGCAACGAAGGAGACTGCGTCGGATGAAATCGCACACCAGCCAGGTGATCATCATTCGAGTGGAACAGGGAATGAGAAGCGAACTACGAGTTGGGCATTGGTTCGAAGGGTTCGAAGGGTGAGGGAGGAGACTATGTAAAGAGGGAATGACAGCTTATAGTTAGTCGCAGGGACAGCTGAAAAGGACGGCGTGAAATGGAGATGTGGTGTTGTTGAAGCCCCATGTTCTCTTCATTATCTAGGCAATGAAAACATCTCACAATAAGCAACAAGAACAGGAACAGCAACAACAAAAACAACCATGAATCACTTACTTGTTTCCCTAATGTAGATGTATCATAATTATTACGTGATTTTCTTGCTTGATATGGAAATAATATAGTGAATGGTAATGACACCCTGGATAGATAACCATAATCTGTTTGTATAGCTGATTTCAACAATGGATCTGAAAATCAGAAGAATAAAACAAAAAAGGGAAGGGTGGGGTTAAAATTATATTGAAAGAAACAATTAATGTAATCTTAGAATTATGTAATCAACTTTTCTTTTGATGTTTGTTTTGAATACAAAGCAGTGGTGTGGCGTGTGTCGCTGATAAGATTTATGAGTAGTATATTAGGCAGTATCCATCGGCTCTTGATATCTCTTTCCTCGAAAGCAACTGGCTATAGAATCTTCATTGTCTGGAGGCATCGACACCATTTGTAAAGGAAGAAGATAAGAGAATTGGTTAAAGTACACCTTATCACCATTCAAATCACCATTCGCACAGATCATCCATGTTGGTTGTGCTACTTCTGGCCTTCCTTCATATTGTGTGCGTGTGTGTGTGTTTCTTTGTGTTCCTTTCACATCTCTCCTCTTGAATGCATCTCTGCAACGCTGTATACATCATTTGCCTTCTTTGACATCAGATCGATCTGTCCCCCTAATATTTGATGTTATTATCCCCATGAACGTCTATGTTTATATATACTACTGATAAATCTTATCAGTAGTACATGCCACAGTGGGTTTGAACTTTTGGAACACTAGTGACTCGGCTATTATGCTTAGACCCTTTGATTTCACCCACTTTGAAGGACAGGTTTCATCGGATCTTGTATATGACTTTAAAGGACTCTTTATCAGGTGTAGCTGAATGTCCTGAATTTACCTGATGTTCTCCCTTTGCTAGCCAGCCAGGCTGGATAGTGGTCCTGAGAGAGTTTTACGTGTGGACGTATAGTACGGTCAATGTACACAGATTTAGAGGAGAAAGTGAACTGGTATATGCATAGTGGAGTGACCCAACGTGACAGCTTGTGATATATATTCACAGGCAGATGGAATGGTTTCCAACATATATACCGGGGAATCTATTGACAAAAAAAACTGTAAAATCTCCGAGAAATAAGTATAAAACTTGGGCACTGTGGTAGAGTATAACTCCATAATGGATAAGATTTTATTTATCACACAGTGTGTTGTACAGTAAAATTAACTGATGACGTTTCGAGCACATTTGGTGTTGAATAACTATCCTATAAAATTCATTAGGAAGATAACTAAAGGCCAAAAACAAAATAAAAATAATTGTGAAACTAGTAATGATAACATAAACAAGAGGGAATATAAGTCATCCACTGTAATACCATATAAGGAGGGGACATCTGAGACCCTACGTGGTGGGATTCTTAATAAAGCAGGAATTAGGGTGGCATTCAAACCTACAAACTCATTCAGGTAGGACAAGCTCTGTAGGCTAAAAGACCCCGTGGACCTAATTAAACAAAATAATATAATTTACAAAATACCCTGCAATGACTGTAAGTTAAGTCAATTACATAGGTCAAACTAGTAGATCGGGGGTAGTCAGATTATCAGAACATAAGAATTTAGCTAAGGGAAGAATGGTTGACCCTGAAAAGATAAGTAATTTAAGAAAAAGCTCAGCAATTGCACTTTACACATTAACAAACAACCACACAATAGCATGGTGAGAGAGGGTTAAAATTCTAAAGAGTAACATAGGTAGGTGGAGAGAGAGGTTGATTACTGAATCCTTGTTCATTGAGTCTACACCGCACACAACACATGCAACAGAAATGACTCAATGCAAATACCAGAAATATGGAAGATATTATTACCACCAGTCAGTCAAATCAGAAGGGGATAATAAATAATCATAAAATTCTATTTCAATTCAAACACATCAAAATATTCGAACAAGTTACTTATTATGACTATAGAAACACTCGTCTTTTTTCCCATCTAATTGTAATTGATCAATAACACTCATATTATCATCTCTGAATGTACATTATCCCATATTGATTTTTATTCAAATGTCTAATCATCAATTCCACACATGTATGTGAATGAAGGAAAGAAGTTGTGTGAGTAACTTGATATGATTATGAGTGGCAATAGTTTGTGCTCGAAACGTCATCAGTTATTATTACTGTGTAACACTGTGTGATTTATCAAAATAAAATCTTATCCATTATGGAGTTATCTCCGAGTAATCTTGGTGGAAAATGATTTCCCACCCAGACTCATAGGTGGCAAGAATTTCAAACCAAAGAGAACTTCTGAATAGGTCAGCTTCACCCCTAACCCATGGAAAAATGTTGATGAGTTATCTTGAGTTTAAAAGTGATACTGAAGTAGAAAGACTTAACGTAAACAGCTTTCAAAACCACTCAGTAAAACACACTTCGCCACCAGCAAGAGATTGTTCAGGTAGAAGATGAAATACAAGCCATCGCATTGGATCAATTCAACATACACCATATTGTTATCCAACAGAAATTAGAATTCAAGGTCTACTGTATACCAACCCCAACGGTCACACTACACAAAATCGAACAACTCTAAGTCTGATTCATAGACATAATTGGGTCATGGTTTTTGAGATACTGGCGTGTTCTAAACTAGGAGGAAATAAGTATTCAGTGCCTTGTGACCTTCAATGGTTCTATGAATTATTTTAGATTTCATGATATATATACTTGTGCAATTGCCAGTCAGTGCCAAAGGTGAGTAACTGATCATATCTTAACTGACCTGATGGAACCCGCTGGTGGCAACGACTTCTTATTGGAACTCCAGGTAACTTCTTGTATGTACAGCCAGTTGCCAGTGAGCGTCAGATTAATTATCAAGTGTTGGTTAATAGGGATTTGATTTGGGAAACCAACAGGGAGTACTGGACAGCCAGTTGTTTTGCGCTTTTCATATGAGACTCTAATTTTCAGTACGGAGCCAGCAAAGTGGTGGGTAACTGTTCGAGATGCTTTCCATGAGACGGACATCAAATTCCTGAGCCATTTTGAAGAGCTGACTGACTTAACATTAGTGTTGAAAGTCTGAATTTTGTTGTTTATGCTGAGAGCTTCAGTAGATTCCCAAACTGATTCCCGAATGATGAAGGTCTACCCTACCATTCCAGAGTTCTGGCTGGTTCTGACATCTAATATGGAATCAGTGGCGCTTATAGTCTACTAATATTTTTAGATAACTATATACTATCTGATTAAAATAATTGTGAAGTAATCGTAAATCGATAGCTGGAAATTTTCGTTAATACAATATGAAATCGATCACATTTGGAAATTTAATCATTTTCTATAAAACTTTATTCAACACTCTGTATCCCGTTTGACTTTTATACTCTCCTCTATTCCTATTCAATTTCTGTCTCTCTTTCCGTTTTTGAACTGTTTCAACTTTCTGTAGTAGTGAGTTAAATCGACTTACTGAGTAAGATTCCGAACTGGTTTTCCTGGATATTATGTACCTATAGAATAATTGATTTAGCTTGAGTTAGGAATAATGTTTTTGTCACTGCAACACTATCCAACGGACGGCACATGAATTCCAACTTCTGCCAATTCGCAATATTTGTATATTGCCCAACCGGAGGCCATTGTCACAGGCGAGTAACTGGTCATCTCTTAGCTGACTCGGTGGACCCCTCTGGCTCTATGCAAGAAGTTATCTGGAGTTCTAGTGAGAAGTTGTGACCGACGGAGTCGATCAAGCCAGAGAGAGACAGAACACTTACTCACTCGCCTGATTTGGCTGGCGGTTGCGCTATGCATACATTTATTGTGAATTGGGAGAAGTTGGAATTTATGGCCTGAACAGTGAGTCGGGTATCAGTGGCCGAATGTTCTACCAGCTGCCCTTGTAACCCGAAGTTCCTGGGCTCGATCCCTATGGTGAGTGGGTACTTCTCAGGAGTCCCAAACTAGGAGGAAACAGCTGGCTGTCCAGTACTCCCTCCTTGGTGGTTTCTAAGTTGATGGTTCTCAAACTGATGTCAACAACTCGTGATGAAACTTGTGACCACCAATCAAATCCCCCCATCACCCCAGGGAAAACCAACACTTAGTAATAATGTTTCTGTTCATCTGATGGCTACATCCTTCTCTCACAGCTTTTATTTTACAATTCTCCGCTCCATAGTAATCACTTGATAATTTCTCTTCTTCCTCCTCTTCTTCTTCTTCTGATTGTGATTACTATTCAGTAACATATTGAACTGGACTACAGGTGTTTCTGATGAATAATTTTGTGCTTTGAATACGTTGGTTGGTTTCTATGCACTAAAATTAAGACGACAGTTAAACCCCCCTGCAGTGAAGATTATTACTCTTATGCCTTGTTTGGCTTTCTTATTCTACACTTCCATTATATAGATTGTTTAGTTTATTACGCTTTTTTTACGTATACTGTCATGGGTATAAATTTGTATATCTATCTGTATTGATTATTGGTGAATGCAGCTTTGTATTGAAGGTTTTGTCGGATAAGAGACACACTTGAGGGGCTCGAATTCATGACTCAAATGGACACGATGAAGACAATACTGTTGCCTAAACTGGTCAAATTCTTTTCGTACTGCTGAGGGAGGTTGTGAATCATTTCACTTAGTTTCTCTGTCTATATGTTCTGGTTGGGCCTTCTTAGACAATTTTATCAGCAGTTGCCTCCTTCGCTGTCCAGAAAGAATCAGACACAAGAAACTCTGAGAACAAACCAATCAAGGACCTATCGTCCACAAATATGTGGGCGGAAATGGAGATGAATGGGATACACGCTGAGGAGACTGTCAGGTGATATTGCACACCAACCAAGGCATTTGCTCGAGTGGAACCTGAACGGAGAGTCATTCATCTACTAAGGCCACTCAGACGACAACTACCTTCATCACTCTGAAATCAGTTTGGACATCTACTGTTGATGAACTCAGCATACACAACAAGATACGGACTTTCAACACAAATATTGAGTCAGTCAGTTCTTCTTAGCAGGTGTGTCACCGAAAGCATTTCGAATAGGTAGGTACTTGCAGACTTTGATCAAAATGTGCCTTCGCTAGCTCCATATTGAAGATCCAGTGGCCATCAAAAAGAATTAGCAACAAGAAGTTACGGGGACAAACTAATCGAGTATCTA